CCCGCGCCGCGCTCCCATTGGTCCGTCCCTCCAGGAAGCCCCGCCCCCTCCGCCGCGCCACCGCCCTCCCGTTGGCCCCGCGAAGAGCCGAGCGCGGGGCGGGGCCAGAGGAGCGCACGTCATCCGGCGGCCATCGGCGAAGCGCGGCCGGGGCGAAGGGGCGGGCGCTGATTGGAGGGTTGAGATGTCACTCAGGAAGTTCCGCGCACTGAACGGGCCACGCCCCCCGCCGTGTCTGATTGGGTGGGGAGCTGCCACTCAGCAGCAGCGCGGGTTGTGATAGGGCGCTGTGTAGTGGGCGGGGCCGCGCGGCTGCATATAAATGAGCTCCGGGCTCGGGGGTGCCGTGTGTGTTTCTCGGGGTCGAGGTTGTCCCGTGTTTTCGGGTTTTTCCACCGGGCGGGGTCTCTCGGAGGTTTCCTGTTGTTCAGGGGCTTCTCCCCACCTTCGCAGCCTCAATAAACTCCAACGCACGCACGCTCGTTCCTGGTGTCTCGGTCAATGCCGGTTACCGGGTGGGTGGCCGCTCTCCCCGGTCCCCGCTGCCGTGGCGGTTTGGGTTTTCTCATCCCCCAGTGCAGCTGACCCTGACAGCTCATGGGCCGTTCTGATGTTTTAACTCCCACTAGCTTTTTCCTACCAATGTTTTCCCCTAAAAGCCAATTTTTTTTTTAATGATACCTAAATTAGCAGCAACATTACCCTGTCTGAAGAAAAGCTGTGGTATGGGAACCTCTCCCCAGCAAAGCAGTCGCTGTTTTCCCTGCAGAGCTGGCCTGTACTCGAGCACCACTTGATGACATGTCAGCTCCACAGGTGACCTGCCCATCTCCCTGCCTCTCCGGGCACAAAACCGCTCATTAMTCCTCTTAAACCAAGTGGTGTCTGCCCTGCTTTGTGCTGCTTCTGGCTTTTGAGTAAGGACATCACCTCTGCCTTCCCCCAGCTTCTTGCTCCGGTCCATGGGAGATGGCAGTTGGACTGCCCCTGGTGCCAGGGTGCTGGTGGCCAGGGCACGGAGGAAAAGATGGGCAGGTCCCTCAACTGGTCTCTGTCAATGGCAGGAGAGCAGTGTTCATGTCCTCAGGCTGCAGTGAGGATGATAACAACAAAAATTACTCCAAGTGCTCACTCTCTGTGCAGTCGGTACTGCCTGTGGCTGCTGTGCCCTTCAGCATCCACAGGAAATCAGATGTCATATCTTCTGGGTACCAATCTGCAGCGATTTAGGAGGAGGAGGAGGAGGWGGAGGAGGAGGAGGATGTGTTGCCCTGCCACATCTTGGGGGTAATCTCTCTCTCACCCTGCCTGGAGGGATGAGCTCATGTTGTGAGAGCTCCTCTTTTAGAGCTGTTTTCCCTTCAAAGCTGGCACATGTTTATTTTGAACTTCAAACGAGACGACTTTGTTTCCATCCACTTCCAACATTAACCCTTGGGTTGCTATTTTCTGCTTCCTCCCACCTGGCATTTTGCAGCACCGTTCCCATCACCAACAGGAATAATGAACAATGGGATGCTGCTGGAGCAGCACCAGTGTCCAGAGGATCCTGATGTCCCCAACAGACCCAGCAGCAGCACAGATGGTGGAACTGTCACTCTGCTTTTGAGCTCCATGGCGGGGACATGGCTGGAGAGGGAGAGGGCTCTGAACCTGAGTTGTCGGGGAAGTAATTCAAAAGAATCTTAGAAAAGTGAAGAAACAGCCTGAAAATGCAGGGTGAAGAGGGGGACCAGATGCTCCCAACACCTCATCCAGCCCTCAGGATTTGATGTTTCAGACATCAGCCTGAATCTCCCTTTGCTGACTCAGATTTTGCCCCCATATCCTGGTGTTGCCTTGCCCAAGCAGGGGGACCCTGAGTGCCCCATTCCAGCTGCTCCCTGTCCCCTCCTGCCCTGCAGCATCCCAGAGCTGTGTGCTCATCCCCAGGAGGAGGGATGGTGCCTGGTACCCTGGCTGACACCAAGGGAGCATGGCCAGGCCATTGTGGGTCCCCGGAGTGCTGCCACAGGGCTGGTGCCCCCCGGGAGAGCTGGCCTGGCTGTGTCCCCTATGTTTGCCCTCATCTCCTGGGTATTTTTAGAAGCAAAGTGTTGTTCAGTAGTGAAAAGGCGAACGGCAGCCGCGGGAGGGGAAGCCGGGCGGCAGCGATAGGGCAGCTCCTTCCGCAGGCAGTGCCAGTGCAGCTCCAGCCACTGGGGCTGAGCGCCTCTGTGGGGTCAGCAGTGGGGCCCATCCCGACCCCATTCCACTGGGAACCTCTGCTGACCCCAAAGCTCACACCAGGAGCCTCCCTGCATGGGGACAGCAGTGATGGCCCAGGGAACCTCAGTGCTGCAAATATCCACATCCCATCCAGCCCCCCCAGACCCCAGCTGAGCCCCACCTACCCCGACAGGGGCTGGGGGGGCCAATGTTCCTTGGGCTCCAGCTCCCAGGCGCCAGCAGCTGTTTTTAGCTCAGAGAAAGTCCAATGTTTTGAGATTTTCTATTTTGAGCCRCAAAGCTGAAGAAGTGGAGCAGCCCCTGACCCCCGGGTGTCTGTGCAGAACAGGGCAGGCAGCCAGGCAGGGTGGGTGTGGGGCGGCTTCTGCCCCCCAAGGGGGATGTGGTTGCCCCCGGGTCTTCGCCCCACAGCTGCCTCCGTGGCCTCTTGCACGTCAGGCTGTGCCGGAGCCTGTTCCCATGCGATCCCATCTCTAACACTCTCCCGAGGGAGAGCGGCCTTTCCGGCACTGCGATTTCRTTCCTCCTTTCCCTCCTGCAGCGAGATCCCTGCAAAGCCCCTGAGCAGGATGTGGGGTGTTCCACACCAGACCTGCACCCCTTGTACCCCACCRTGTGTGCCCCCACAGAGCCCCATGGCGTGGCACAGCTGGCGTGTCCCCAGCCCTGGCACAGAGGCACAAGGCTCGGACTRGGCTGCTGTGGTGGCAGAGCCCTGTGCTGGTGACGCTGCCACGTGGAGGGTTTTGTCTCCTCACAGCAGTGGGGTCCAGCCCCTGCGCAAGAGGATGCTGGGGGACACTGGCATTTGCCTGGCAGTGGGGAGGGCTGGTACTCACTGCAGCTGCCACAGCAAGTCATCACCACCAGTGCTGCAAGAGATACATATGACACAGGTGACAGTGGGTACTGGCACTTGATGCCGCTTTCTGGGCTCCCTGGAGGCAGATGCCAGCCCCGGACACAGGCTTTGGTCTCATTTTATTCAATCCTGCATTTCCAGAAGCACCTCGAGCTGCACACCAGCACTGCCATCCAGGGCGTGCGGTGGGGCCAGGTGCTGTGAACCCTGAATAGGGCTGGTGACCACGTCCCAAATGTCCTGACAGGTCCCTAAGTGTGGTGCTGGCGGGGGATGGCGAGGAGCCGGCGGAAAGCAGCTCGGAAGTCCCGGTTGAAGAGRGTGTAGATGAGGGGGTTGACGCTGCTGTTGCAGTACCCGATCCAGAAGAAAAAGTTGAAGAGGGGCTTGGAGACGTGGCAGCCCTCCCCACAGAGAGCCCCCAGGCTGTAGGTGAAGAAGAAGGGGAACCAGCACAGCACGAAGGCCCCCATCACCACGGCCAGCACGACGGTGAAGCGCCGCTCCCGCGCCCGCATCAGCCGSCGGCGGCACAGCAGCACGCTCTGGTGCTGGCTCCGGCGCCGCCATCCCGGCGTGCCAACACCCGACACCTTTCCATCGCTGGAGGAGGGCCACGGGCAGCGGGCGGCGAGCAGGGCGGCCGTCCGGCGGGCCGTCAGGCGGTAGATGCGGCAGTAGACGGCGACCATGACGAGGCAGGGGACGAAGAAGGAGGCGGCGCAGGAGGCCAGCACGTACCAGGTCTCCTGGCTCAGCTGGCACTCCTGACCCCCCGGCCGTGGCCGCAGCAGCGGTGGCAGTGCCACCAGGGCCGCCGCCGCCCAGACCGCCCCGATCATGCCCTTCACCCGCCGCGGGCTCCGGCGCAGGTTGAGCCGCGCCGCTCGTGTCACGGCCCAGTAGCGGTCGAGGCTGATGGCGCAGAGGTGCCCGATGGACGCCGTGCACAGCAGCACGTCCAGCGCCAGGTACAGGCTGCACCACAGACCACCAAAGTACCAGTAGCCCATCACCTCGTTGGCCAGCGAGAAGGGCAGGACGAGGACGGCCACCAGGATGTCTGCCGAGGCCAGGGACACCAGGAAGAGGTTCTGCGGGGCCTGCAGGGCGCGGCTGGTGGAGATGGCCACCACCACCAGAGCGTTGCCCAGCAGTGTGGCCAGCAGGATGGACAGGGCGGCCAGCAAGATGAGCCCCGTGGCCGCGGGTGAATGCGGGGCGCTGCCGGCGCCGCTGCCGTTACCGGAGGCGTTGGGAAGGGCGCTGGATGCTGGCTCCATGCTGGCCCAGCCCCTCARGCTGATGAAGCCCCATCGGGCTTTCCCCACCCTGCTCACCGGTCCCACAGCAGCTGCGGGTGCAGCCCCAGCATCGCTGAGTCCCCARGGGGCTCTCCCGGCCGCCACCGCTCCCGCACTGACCCGATCTGGTGGCGAGGTCGTCCTGGCCCGGTGGTTGCCCAGCCGGGCATGCGGGACGGCGGCAGTGCCGGGAACACGGAGAGGCTCCCACGGCAGCGCTGCTGGCTCTGCCGGTCCCAGTCCGGAGGAGGGCGGGCGCGAAGGAGGGAGGGAAGTAGGGAAGGGTGGGCCGATATCGCTGGCTGGAGCCCAAACATCTGTGGGCAGTGGGAGAAGTTGCTATTGTGACTTTAAGGGCTCCCTTCAGGGTCACCAGGACAGGAGGGCTCCTGACACGGGTGCCAGGGTGCCCAGTGGTCCAGGGGCAGTGCCCAGCCGTGCTGAGTCGGTATCCTGCTGATCCCAGCCCCGCAGCACTGCAGAGGCGCAGCACCTTGCTGTGTGCTCTGTGCTGTGCCTCAGTCACTGAAATGCTGCTGTGGCACACAGTGGGGCACCACGGACCCTGCCAGCTCAGCCCTTCGGGGACGAGGCGAGTGAAAGAAGATGCTTCCCGTGACACCTCGGTACAGCTGCTGAAGAGCTCAGGGTTTAGCTGTGGCATCGTCATCATGTGCCCCGCAGCACCAGCAGTGTTTGGTGTGTGGGAAGCGGGGAGAACGGTGGATGTCGGGTCCCCGTGGCCACAGGCTTTGCAGAGGGAGGACCCAAAGAGACACACACCAGGGACATGGGCACACCCCCTTTATTAGACACCAGCTGAGCAGACACCCTGCAAACCAGCAGGAGCAGCAGCCCGGGTGTGCATTGCCGGCTAGAGCCGSGTGGCACCGTGCGGGAGCGGGCGGGGGGATCCCACCCGCATGGTGGGGCTGGGCATCTCCTCGGGGTACGAGAGGGCCGGGTTGTCCAGCCCCAGCCTGGCCTTGTCGCGGGGAGGGCCCTCGTGCTCCTCCCAGCCCTCGGGGCTGCGGCAGCGGTCGGTGCAGCAGAGGGTGGCCTGGGTGATGGCGCGGTCCAGGGGCTGCAGCGAGTGCATCCAGGCGGGGAGGAAGTCCCAGGTCTGCAGCCACTTGGGCAGGCGGCCGGGGCTGTGCGCCTGCAGCGCGTTCACCAGCCCCACGAAGATGAGGAGGCCGAGGAAGGGCGTGCCCACCCCCACCAGCGCTCGCCAGCCCGCCATGGAGATGCCGAAGATGAGGGAGGGCAGCAGGAGGAAGCAGATGATGAGGTACAGCACGGCGAACCAGCGGTACTTGGCCGTGCGCTCGCCCAGCGCCTTGGCCATGCGGATGGGCAGCCGGGTGAAGGGCAGCGGGTACCACAGCAGGATGCCCGAGATGTTGAAGAAGAAGTGACACAGAGCGATCTGCAGGGATGATATCCCTGTCAAGCTGGGCACGTGGGCTTCCCCCAGCCCTTGCCCTGCCTGGTGGCCCCATCCAGCCCAGCCGTGGCCCCGGGCTGACCGTACCTGGAAGGAGCTGGCCAGCTTGTCCCCTGGGCTGGCCAGGGCAGCCAGGATGGCGGTGGTGGTGGTGCCAATRTTGGAGCCCAGGGTCAGTGGGTAGGCACGCTCAATGCTGATCACCCCCAGGCCTGTGGGAGAGGCACCCCATCCATCCCATCGCTGCTGGCAGTGCCATCCCCAYGCTCTCCCGAGGAGGCACAGCTCCTCTATGAATGCTTTAGCACCCACAGCACATGGCAGRGGACCAGGAATGGTCGGGACTCACCAATCAGGGGTGTAATGGCCGAGGTGAAGACAGAGCTGCTCTGCACCACGAAGGTCATCCCAGCACCCACCACCATGGCAAAGTAGCCGGTGAGCCAGCTGAGYGGGTGTGGCAGGTCTGCCATGGCGTGGCCGTGGGCACGGGCACAAACACGGACATGGGCATGGATACATCAGGGTTGGGGGTCAGGGACAGCTAGGGACAGGTCTCAGGATGGCAAGTGGAGACGGGCCTGGGTGGCCGTGTGGCACATGGTCCCACTCTTACTCACCAGTGTTGATGACCTTCTGGATGGCTTTGGCCACCTGCCCCTTGAGCAGGGAGTTGAGGAGTTTGACCAGGAGGATGAGGCAGGTGCAGAGCACGACGAGGGACCCAGCCAGCAGCACCAGCCCCACGGCCAGGTCGGGCAGTGGTGTGTCGGTGAAGAGGTGCTCGCCTGCCCCACAGCACGGCTGGGCAAGGGGCTGGGGCTGGCCCGGCCCCGCTCACAAACCTGCCCCCACAGACAGCCCCGCACCTGGACCCCAGCCCAATGTCTCCCAGCCCTGCCCCACATCATGACTCCAGCACTTCTGCATCCCACGTACAACTCTCAGGCCCGCCTGCACCTCCCCAGCCCCATGCCCTGTGCCCCAGCCCTGTCCAAGCCCTCCACACCCACTCACACTTCTGCCTGGTGATGTTGTGGAGCACCTCGATGCTCTTGGTGCTGCAGTGGCCRGAGGATGTGCAATTTGGGGGTGACCCAAGCCCCACAGCAGCCATCTGCAGGAAGAGGGTGGGCTGCAGCTGGTTCCACAGTGTCCTCAGCCTGCCCCTGCCCACTACCCACCCTCTGTGTGATTATTTGGTGGTCCCAGCAGTGCCACAAACCTGTGGGGATGCAGGGCCACACCAGACGCGGATGAGGCTCCGGTTGCGCAGGCTCTCGTCCCCCGTTGCGATGCCCGTGATCACAGACTTGTCCAGCTGCAACAACACACACATTGGAGAGGCCTCCCATGGTGCCACCAGGGAGGGGACATCTTCACTGGGATGGGGACATCACTGCCAGCCTGAGGACACTTGGATACAACCACCATCAAAGGGACACCAGYGCTGGGGACATCACCACCAGCCTGAGGACACACCACGCTGGCAAACACAACAGCTGAGGAGACCTGGATGATGAGCTTGGTGAAGGGCTCYGTGATGATCTTCAGCAGGTCGGGGGCATCCTTCCCGCTGCGGATGTTGAAGGTGGCCACGACCAGGCGGGTGACGTGGTGCAGGTACCCGCTCACCACCTCCAGCGGCAGCAGCACCAGCACTGACAGCCAGTTGAAGCAGTCGTGCACCGTGGCACCAGCGAAGGCCCTGCRCAGAGCCCGGGAGCCCGTTGGCATGGGGTGGTCCTGAGGAGCAGCCCCCAGCCCCCAAGAGAGTCCTCTGACCCATTCAGCTCTCACCGTTTGAACTCACTGCGGTCGCCAGCCTGCATGAGGGCCACGATGGTGTTGGTGACCGAGGTGCCGATGTTGGAGCCCATGATGATGGGGATGGCAGAGCGCACCTCCAGCACTGGGGACAGAGACACCTGCTAGCCTTGTGTGGCCCAGCTCACGGGGAACCCATCCAGCCATCCTCTCCCCCAGCCTCAGCATTCCAGGAGCCTCATGGGCACACTCACACCCTGAGGAGACCATGCTGACGATGATGGAGGTGGAGGTGGAGGAGCTTTGCACCAGAACCGTCACCAGGATGCCCACRACCAGCCCTGCCACTGGGTTGGAGAGGATGGCGTTGTCCTTGAAGATGTCCCCGGCCACCTTGCCTATAAGAGAATGTGAGTGCAGGCTGCTGGCACTGCCGGTGCTGCCAGGTTCCCAGGCACCCCTGCCACCCTACTACCTCCAGCCAGCTGGAAGGCAGAGCTGAGCACRTCCAGAGAGCACACGAAGAGGTACAGGAACCCAAACATCAGGGGCACCTTTAGAAGGGAGACACAGAAGGACTGGACCCTGGCCCAGCACCCGAGCTCTGTGCAAGACAAGAGAGAGTGTTAAACTCCTGCTRTGGCACGGCCCTGGCTCCCCAGGCTCCTGGCAGCACAGGGCTTGTGTCCCCAGCTGTGCCACCTCTCTCTGGGTCCCCTCCATCTCCTCCCACCCTCGAGTGCCTTGTGCCAACTGCCCCATTGTCCCTCAGCTCTTCCTGTGTCACCCCAGGATGCTCAGGGTCCCCCCACAGGCACTCCCCTCCCATCCTGGCACCCCACGTGCCCCGGGTCAGGTCTCTGGGGTGTTCCCCAGCCCAGGTGCTGTGTGACACCCCCATCACCCACAAGGTCTCACCTGGCTTCTGCAGCTCATCCAAGCCCAGGCGGGGCCCCTGCCAGGACAGTGCGTCCAGCTCGTAGCGCTCGCGGCCCTCGCGCAGRCGCCCCGGGGAGCCGGGGCAGGGGAAGCCATGGTCAGGGCAGGGCACAGCGCTGACAGTGAAGGGGCAGGCGTGGGCACCCGGCAGCCGGTGCAGAGCTGGGGACAGAGGACACCTACGTTACAGCCCCGTCCTCACAGGGACCTCCCTGCAGAGGAGAGCCCAGCACTGCCTGGCCACAACAGAGCTGAGCCAGGAGAGGAAGAGGAGGAGGAGGAAGGCTGGGGGTACCTACCTTGGGGGCTGGGGCAGTAGGCAAACTGTGGCCCATGCACCACCCTTCCTCCCCTCACTGGGCAGCGGCCAGGCAGCACCGGGCTCTCTGTCCGGTAGGGCAGCATCGCTCCTGCTGAGGCTGAGCAGAGGTGGCCACATGTCACCACAGCCGTGCTGCACCAACAGCCACGTCCCCCCGAATCCCTGCGGTGCTGGCACCACTGAGGAGCACCATCCCATCATCTGCTGGTCCCCCGGGCCACTGTCTGCTGCTGTGCCACCCCAGCGAGCTCCCAAAGGGCGGGCAGGGGAGGCAGGAAGGGGACTCCTCYTGCCCAGGGCCCCGCTCACCTGGGGCTGGCCGGGCACTCAGGGCAGTGCGATGTCCTCATGCCACATCCACAAGTCTCTCCAGCGAAGTGGCCCGTGGGGCACCACGGCCCTTTATACACAGGCCAAGAGCAAAGTCTAAGGAGCCCCGTGTTGCCCCTCGCCTCCGCTCGCCGCTCGCCTCCTCCCCAGAAATTCCTGCAGTTAATGGGTAACCCCCAGCACATCCCGCGTCAGCCGCGGCCCCGGGGCGGGATGGGGCACGCGCCCCTGGGGTACCGCGCCCCCGGGATACCATGCCCCCACTCCCCACCTCGCCAGCTCCGGGTCTGGGTCAGCAGCAGCTGCTGTGGTGATGAGCAAAGCTGGGGCACTGCTGGAGCCCGAGGGGTGATGCCAGAGCAGCCTCAGATCTCCATCATCTGGTGTTGGGCGGTTCATCCACCCGGAGGAGAGGAGGAGGAGGAGGAGGAGGAGGATGAGGAGGCGGAGGAGAAGGGCTTGATGCTGCCAGGGCATCACAAAGCAGAGGTGAGGCCATGCACACATCCATCACCCTCAGCACCATTGGAGCATCAGCCATGAGGGACCCAGCTCTGCCCAGAGCGTGATATCATCASTCCCCAGGGCATTGGTGGTGGGTGACACCGACACCAGTGTGATCCTGGTGTCCTGCTGCTGGTGTTGATGGTGGCACACAGCCTGGCTCAGTGTGGGGCAGAGCCCACATCTCCCTGACACCACATCTCCCTGGCATGTGCGAGGGGTGGGCAGGAGAGGAGCGAGGCCAGCGCTGCCGTCACCACCTCGGCCCTGTTTATCATTACCTGCTGCTTACACACCTCCAGCCAAGTTTCCATCCACCCACAGGACACCCAGCCTGCTCAGCTCCACAGCTGTCCGGGGGAGAGACAGTGGCCAAAGGCCCCTCCAGCCCCAGTGCCCATGGGAGTGGGCACAAAGAGGCATTCTGTTGCCACATCCCTATTTCCCCAAGATCCGGCACTTCCAGGACCCATGACCAGGGATGAGCCAGGTGCAAATGTRTGGGCAGATCCCTTGGGTTCTCCAGAGCACTCAGGGATAGCCTGGGGACATCTGTACCACTGCTGGAGCATCACTGAGCCACCAACAGAGTCACAGACGGAGCTGTGTCCGGGATGTGCCACAGCAGGGATGTGTCCTGCCTCTGCAGGACCTGGGGACCCTTCTGTCCAGGTTGGGGGTGCCACCAGTGCACAGGAGGCTGGTGTCCGCACTTGCCCCGTGCCCAGGGGCTCTTGGCCAGCTGCCCCCACAATCATTAACCCAGTGAGGCCCTGGCAGCTCTGGCTGTCACTCATTGACAGGGTCGGGGCTGAAGTCCTTGGCCGTGTCGGCCCTACAGCTTCCCCTACTCCGTCAGCAGTGCCGGGAAAACAAGCTCCTGGCACTGCCCCTCGCTGCTGGTCAGTGTGGCACTGGAGCTGAGGGCTGGCCCCAGCCCTGTCCTGGCCCTGGAAGGGCTCCATGGGTGACAGGGAGCTTGAGGGGACATGGAGCTGGGAAAAAAGCAATTTCTCTTGATGACAGAGCAAAGAAAGAAAGAAAGGCACATCCAGGCAATGCTCTTTATTTCCCCTGGTTCCACACCACAGACAGAACTGAGCAGCATCACAGAGACACAGCGGGGCTCTGACTAAGGCCACAGGGCTGCAGCTGGCTGTGGCAGCGTGGGGCTGAGTGGCCATGCCCCCATCTCTGGGCAAGCCTGGGTCACCCCTCTGCCTCTGGCCAGGTTGTGGTGGCAGGGTGGTTACCCAAGGCACAGCCAGGAAGGGCTCTGGCACGTATGGACTGTGGAGGGATCTCTCCTGGCTGCTGCTGGGGGAAGGTTTCCATCACACATTCTGTCTGGGATCTCTGGGGACGCTGGGCTGCTGGGCACGGGGACCAGCAGGGCACAGCCAGGACTGGCAGATGTAGGCTCAAGGCTACAGCCCAGCACAGCTGCTGGCAGGAGTGATGGGCTGGGCACACTCTGGGCACCTGCACACCAGGCTGAGAGGTGCTGCATTCTTCTGGCACCAAGCAGGGCTGACCCCAAAGGCTGAGCACCGCAGCCCCWGTGGGGATGGGGCACAGGGGCTGTGAGGATTTGCTCCTTCGTGTCCCTTCAGCAGCCGCCCACACAGGATCTCCGGCRGGGAGAAAAAAGGCTTTTTTGGCACGATCTGTTGGCTCTGCCTCTGTCTGCCTGGGGCAGGAACCATGAGCCCTGCTCCAAGYCGTGCTACTGTGGCAGGATCAGGCCACACTCACACAACGCAGACGTAACAACCTGCCCGGGGCACAGTGCACCAGGGCCATGCTCACCCTCCCCAGGAAGGGTGGACTTGCAAATCAACAACGGGGCARCCCTGTTCCCACGGGGCCAGGGACTGGCTCATGTTCTCCCGACCCTGCCTGCCCACAGCACCGGGGTTCAGGACCGGAGCCTGCCTTTCCTCCCCACCCACCCTGTCTATCCTGCACACCCTTCAGCTGGAAGGGAGCTTTCCCCACCCAAACAAGGAGTGGGGCTGTGCCAGCCCGACACAGGCAGGATGTGCTGGGCAGGCAGAGGCACTGGGCAGGACAGGGGGGTTCACTCTATGTACAGGGCTCCCTCGATGTGCACCGGGATGTGGCCCCACAGTGGGGCATGGCAGCTGCTCAGCCACTCACAGCGACACGACACGACAGTTTGGGACAGGACGTGGATGATTCTGCAGTCCGGGCAGTGTCGGCGGTGCAGGGCAGGGGCTGTCGGGCCCGTGTTAAACCCCAGCACGGCCTGGGGGTGCCACGAGCCGGCTGTGGATGTGCAGCAGGACTCATCAGAGCTTGTGATCCAATGAAGGCTGAGCTGGCACAGGCTCTTCCTGGGGGTGGCTGCTTCCCTTGGAGCCAGGCTGAGAGGCACTGGGCTGATCTGATGCCTTGCAGGCACTGTCATCCCGCACGGGGAGCTGCAGGAAATCAGGCAGGACCAGATCCTCCTTGGAGAGCAGCCCACGCTGGTCGTTGGCCCGGCAGCTCTGGGCACGGTTCAGCAGCTCCACCAGCCCTGGGGAAATGCAGGTCATGCACCTGAGCCAGGCACTGGGGCTTTGTCCTGGCACCTCGGCTGCCCTCTCCACCTGACATGACCCTGAACATGTCCCAGGCACAGCACCTGCACCTTCTCCCAGCTCTACACTGGACCCCAGAGCCCATCCCAGCTTCATGGGACCCTGCACCCATCCCCAGCTTCATGGGACCCTGCACCCATCCCCAGCTTCATGGGACCCTGCACCCATCCCCAGCACACCATGGGCTCTGCATCCCTCAGGCTGTGTTTTGCCCCAGCCCCTCAGGTTTCAGACACACCAGGTCTCACCTTCCAGGTCGTAGGTGCGGCGGTTGAGGTTCATGGCAGCTGAAGACCGTGGCCTGCAGAAGGAGGAGGGCATTTCCCACCGCGTGTCGGGCTCTGCTCCTGTTGGGCTTCCCTCCTGCAATGAGCAGCCCGGGCCTCAGGCACGGGGCGAGGAGGCAGYGCTCCCCCAGGCTGTGTCCCCAGTGCCCTTCCACAGCCTCCTGGCCAGTGCTGGGGCCACAGCAGGGCCCACTTTCCTTGCAGACCATGACAGCAGCTGTGGGGGCATCTCTGACCACAGTGGTGGGRTTTTATGCTCACCTCACTCCGGAGCAGAGAGGAGGCAGCCGCAGCCTCAGCGCTCTCCATCGCTCTCACATCTGCAAGGGAAGAGATGCTCAGTGCCCCATCCCAGCACCCAGGTCCTGGCCAGTGACAGGATGGAGCCTGTCCCAGGGAGCGGGAGCCATGGCAGCACAAAGCAGGCTGGCCTTGTGAGTGCACTGCAGGGTGATGTGGCTTGAGGGATGACGTGGTTTGGGAGGGATGACACTTTACCTGCTGGCGTTTCCAAGACAAGTTTCTGAGCAGACACTGTGCTGACCAGCTTCTCCAGGTCCAGGGTGGCCGGCTCACCTTGCTGCAACAGGAACAGCAGCCCGTGTCACATTCACTGAGGCACAGCAAAGGCACCCAGGCTGAGGACATGCTKGGCCAGACCCCGCTGGTCCACAGAGGCAGAGCACCYTTGGTCCYTCCTAGCACACAGTGGGGTRTCACAGCCCATCCCAAAMACAGTGATTCCATGAGCCTGGCACACAGCGCTGCTCTCCTACTCACAGCCAGCATTCCCTGGCCCAAGGGCTCTCCCCAAACTGCCGAGGGCTGAGCCTCACCCTCCGCAGCAGCGCCCGCTCCACGCTCACGCCGTACTTCCCCAGCACGGGCTGCAGCGCTTCCCGGATGCGCTTGGTTGACTTGGCYGTGATGCGGATGGTCTTGTTGAGGGAGGAGATTTCCAGGCTGCAGAGGGGAAGAAGAGGCTGTTGGAGGCAAATAGGGACAGGCAGGGGCAGAGCCAGGGCACTCGGGACTGCCTGAGGGACTGGGTTTGGGGTACTGTGGMTGGCCAACCCGAAGCTCCCACTCACTCAAAGCTTATCCTGTTCTCCAGCTTCACCTCCTGGTCTGCCAACACGGAGCACTCCTGGTCCAGCACCAGCGCTTTCTGCACAAGACAAACCATCAGGAGAGAGCCAGCAGAGCGGCCTGTGGTCCCAGCAAAGGGTTGGGCTGGCTGGCAGAAATCCTGCAGGCCCTGCCTGCCCTACCTGCTCGCTCCCCACCAGGTACACCTTGATGTCGGGGAGGCTGAAGCCGCGTTTCTCACATATCCCGGCCAGCATGTCCCGGATGGAGTGGCCGGGCCGGACGGAGGCCAGCGAGGCCGTGCCATCGGGCAGGTACACGCAGCAGTATTTCATGGGCTTGGCTGGCAGCTCTGCCTCGCTGCCCCCCAGGCTCTTCTGTTGGCCCTGAGGGAGGGATGTGGTGGGATGAGCCCAGCCAGTGGCACTGCGGGGCCGYAGGACTGGCGTGGTGGCGACTCACCTCTGTCCAGGGGCTGGTGGCCGTGCTGGCCGAGGACAGGAAGCCCAGGTCCAGGCTGGCTGAGGAGTTGAGTGAGCCCTGGGACTCCCTCCACAGTACGGCGCTCCTGCCGCCTTCTCCCCCCTCTAGGACAGACAGAGGGATGGCGGTGAGGACGTGAACACCCCTCAGGGTGGCGTGGCCCCTCTGTCCTGCTCAGCACAGCACYCACCTGCCCAGGAGGGCTCTCGCCGCTCTCCCTTCCTGAAGGACCGGCGAGGGCTGCGGTTGGCACCACTGCCCGCTGTCTCCACGCCCAGTGGCAGGGACTTGCCCAGCTTCAGCTTCGACTTCTGTGGTGAATTGAGCAGCATCTCAACATGAGGACATCTGAGGTTTCTCCTTCCCTTTCCCTGGTCCCAACTAGTTTTCTGTCCTCAGCCTGGGGCTGAACAGCAGGGAAAGGACCCAGCACCAAGTGGACATGTCCCCATTCCCCTTTTCCTCCCACTCACCTTGCTGAGGTCAGGAGGGGGGCTGCTGCTGCGGGAGTGGGGCCRCAGGTCGGGCAGGGGCTGCCCCTGGCTCTCTGCCCGCAGGCAGGCCTGGTAGAGCGGGGATTTCACAAAACGTGTGTAGCTGTCAAACTTCATCAGGTTGAAGATCTGGAAAGGGAGGATGTGTGTGTGTAGGTGTGCCCACCTACAGGCCATAACCCCATGGCACAGCCCCATAGTGACAGCAGTGACACTGGRTGACATGTGGGGTGGCCCCACAGCCCCCCATCCTGCGGGTGGGGAACAGGTGCTGCCCATACCTGGAGCTGTTGGRTGCGAAACATGTCTGGGGAGGGGGTGGCCAGCATGTCCTCCCCAATCCAGGCCTGCTTGTCAATGTTCACAGGACTGACYGAGTGGCTGGACAGGAACTCATCATAGATCCGCCGTGCCTCCTGGGCCAGCTGGGGGGACAGGAGCTCAGGCTGAGACCAACAACCCCCTCCTCACTGCAACCCCAGGGGTGCCCCTTGCTCCCCCCACAGAGACACCCGAGCTCTGAAGAACCAACCTGCCCCAGGAGCAGCTCGGTACCTGGACTTGAGGACCAAGCTCTGGGCACAACACACCAGTCTCTCCACAGAGAGAGGGAGGGACCATCCCCTGCAGCCACCTGGCTCTGTCCCCATGATCCCCAGTCCAGCTCTGCCCYTGGTCTCGTTTGTCCCCCCAGAAGGACTCTCCACCCTCTGGCATGTCCTGCTCTCTGCAGGTAGTCCCAGCTGTGGCTTTTCAGATGCACATYCCACACATCTCCTTGTTCCTGCTGCAAGAGTCCCCAGCCTGCCCAGCCCCCCAGAACAGGGATCTGCCAGGACCCCAGGACATGCAGGCTGGACATGCAGCTGTGTGCCCACATCCCTCCCAGCAGCTGTGTGACCAAAGCTGCATGGAGCTGCTACCTGCTGTTTGTCACTGGCTGGGATCTGCTGGAAGCGCTCACATGCCTGCCAGAAGTAGACATTTTCAGCACTGAACTCCTTCTTGAGGAACTCCTGCGGGGCAGAGAGAGCTGCTGGTCTGGTGGCATTGTGGCTGTGGGACAGTGGGTGGCCAGTGGCCAATGGGAGCAGGGACTGAGCTGTGACACYGTCTGGGCTGTGACACTCACAGTGAAGTAGGTGACAGCCACACGGTCCTGCAGCAGYGTCTCGAAGGATTCAGCCCAGCTGACCACAGAGCCCTGTGTGGATCCACACGAGGCCGGTGGGCCTGGCAGGCTGTTCACACTGTGGTTGCTRCCACGGGCCCGGGAGGCATTTAACTCTGGGGAAGAAAAAGGGTCAGTTCTGGCTGTCTCCCTGTCCCCCAGCATCACCCCCCTGGCACCAGCAGCGCTCCATCCCCCCATCTGGAAATGAGGGAACATGAGGAACACCACAGTGGCATCCTCGGAGGATTGAGCACCATGATGCCACAGCTGGCACTTCCTGGCATGACAGCTGTCCCTGCCAGTGCTGGCAATGCTGCCCACCCGGGTGTCACCGTGACTCCACCTGTGACTCATCTCCGGGGTATGACGGCCATGGGAAGGCACCCAGCCAGCAGGGAAAGCGGAGTGGAATGGGACATGGAGAGCACACGGAGTGGAGGGAACTTGGAAGGTGGGCAGAGGTGCCTGAAACCACCTTCTGCATTCCTCTGGCCATGACAAAGCACAAACCCAGCAAGTGGAGAGCACAGAAAGTGTCATTTCCAGCTCCCAACCCTGAGGAAAACCCACTCGGGGAAACCCAGGGTGACCATGTATTCAGAAAGATGGAAGTTCCCGGGGGCAAYCCCAGCTTTGGAACTGGTTTGACTKGTGTGCAGCTGGAAGCAGGGGGTCATTTGCAAGAGAAGGAAAGGGTTTGGAAGCAGAGCTCTCCTGGCAGAGCTGGCAGGAATAGAGGAGGTGTGTCAGGCTGCTTCTTTGCCAGGCTTCCCTTGATGCCTGATTCTCTTGGTGCTCTAAACCATGGTCTAAACTGGTAACTGGGGCTGAGACAGTTGAATAAACCACCTGAGATATCCAGTGCACAGTGAGACAGACAGACAAACCCCCTCAGAGAATCCGGGGCTGGCTGATCCCCAGGTTCTCCTTGCCCCAGGAAGCCCCTCCGCCCCCAGCACCCCAAAGTCGCAGATGAGCAGCAAGAGGGAAGGACAGGCAAGGGAGGGATGGGGGGCACGGCCAGTCCCGGGCAGAGGGCTCAGTCCAGCACTGCGGGGGCCCTGCCACGCACCCGCCCATGGCACAGCCTGTGCTGACACAGGACCTCACTGTCTGCTGGCTCCCTGCCCCTGGCACCAGGCTGCCTGTGGGCTTCACCCTCCCCTCAAGATGATGCTGGCCTCCCGTCCCAGGGCAAAGAGCAGCCTTACCTCCATCTGACACGGCTGGGCCCTGTGGGGGGGAAAGAAGAGAGGTGAGAGGGGCTACAGGGGCTGGTGGAGTGGCACCTGGGCAGGCAGCAGCACCAGGGCAAGCCAGAGCAAGGGACACTGTCAGCAAACACTGCTCTGGTGTCTCCTGCCCTGTGGCAGAGGTGACAGGGAACCACAGGACTTGCAACCCAGGGCAATGAGAGCTACAAGGGGGTGCAGCTTTTCTCCCACCTCCCCACGGGCTGGGGCCAGGCCAGCAATTGGGAAAGGGCAGACGCTATCAGAAGTAACCCTGCCACCCCAAGCAACAGGGGAGGAGAGCAGCAGCCTCCACRGCACAGGAAGAGGAGGGGAGGAGGGGAGGGAAGGGAAGGGAAGGAAGGACAACCACAGCCCCAGCCAGGCAAACTGCCTGTTCCCTCCTTCCTTGGAGCCTGGAGCTTCTGGGAGGCAGATGCCCAAAAACAGGGACCAAGTGCTGCCAGCCCAGGGAACAGCAGGACAGGGTGTCCTGCAGCACCCGCTGGGCTACCCCAGATACCAACCCCAGGTACCAACCCCAGACACCAACCCCGGGCCTGGCGTACCCAGGGACCCACAGCAGGCAGGRAGATGGCCAAARCCCAGCCAAGCACTTGCTGCACAGYGCTGTYTCTCRTYACCTGCCTGGGGCCACGCTGAAGTGCTGCCCACACTCCAGTGATACCCTTGACCCAGCTGACCCTGCCCCTGACCCTGCCAGCCCCACACACCCCCTGTCTCCACCCCAGTCCCACTATCCCATGCCTGCCTTTCCCTGCTATCCCACCCCACATGCCCCTGCCCAGTCTCTCACCCCAGTCCCACGTCCCTGTATCTCGCCAGCTCCTCGCTCCTCCCCATTCATCCCTGCTGCCCACACCCACACAGCCCTGCCACGCCTGTGCCACCCAGCCCCACGCACACCAGCACTGCTGACTCCTGTCACCCCATCGTCACTGCTTGTCCATTACCCAGCGCCACACATCCCCATTTACAATGAGTCCAAGCCTCATAAACCCCCGCTGCTCATTACCCAGCCCCATACCCTGCTGCCTGCTCTAAACCCCTCTATACTCCGCTTGCTTTGGACACGCATCCTGCCCTGCCCGCGCAGATCCCAGCCCCACAGCCTGCTGCCTGCCCGTTTCCTGACTCCATACATCYCTCTGCCTGCCCGTTATCCACTCCACACCCCCTTCCCGCCCGGTCCCCGATCCCGCACATCCCCGCCGGCCCGGTACCGAGCCGCACGCCGCTCGGCCGGGCGGGGCAGCCCCGGGGGATGGGGACCGGCGCTCCGGGGGATGGGGAGCGGCGCTCCGGGGACTCACCATGCGCCCGTTGTGGACCACCAGCAGTTTGCCCTTGCCCTGCATCCCTGGCTCGGCCCGGCCCGTTGCGCTACGGGCGCGGCCCGCGGCCCCGCAGCATCCCCGGCCGGCGGCGCGGCTCTCCCGGCCCGGCCCGGCCCGGCGCTCCCGGCACTACCGCTTTCGGTAGTGCCACAGGAAGTGTCGCCATGGGAACCGAGACCGCAGCGGGGGGAGCGGGGCCGCCTGCCCGCCCCGAGCCGCCGGCACCGCCCCGGTGGGCACCGGCTCCAGCTCCAGCCCCGGGCCGGGAGCCGCCGCGGCGCTTCTGCATCTCCGTCCCCATCCCCGTCCTTGTCTCCATCTGCATCCACATCCGTTATTCCATCTCCATCTGCATCCCTGTTCCATCCCCATCCCACTCATTTCCCATCCCCATCCCCATCTCCATCTGCATCCACATCCGTGACCGCATCCCCATCTGCATCCCTGTTCCCATCCCGATCCCAAACCCCATCCCTGTCCCTGTTTCCATCCACATCAAAATCCGTGACCACATCCCCATCTGCATCCCTGCTCCCATACCCATCCCAGCCGTCATTCCCGGCACGGCCTGTGCTGCCTTGGGGTCACCACCCCGTTGTCACCCTCCCACCCGGCCACCACAGCTCCCCAGAGAAGGGGGGTGGAGGGGCAGGGGGACATGAACAGGCCCAGCACACCCTGCCACCAGCCTGGTGCCACTTGCCCTGGTCACAGAGGGTCTGGGGCAGCATTTGGGGACAGCTGCCTGTGCTGTGTGTGCCAGAAGAAGCTGGCAGAGAGGAGCAGTGGACGTGCAGCTTGGAGCCACCAAACTGATGCCTAAGCAGTTTTGCCCATCTCCTAAGGTCGGGGTTCCATGTTGATCAGCAACCACAAACCAGTGGAGGATATTTTAGGATATTTGTTAGGAAACCTCAGTAACTAACAGCACAGGATAAACCGCAGARCACCATGGCAACCCGCTCAAGGAAATGCTAATAACGGGGACGTAAGGTGGGTGATTAACCTATCAAAAGCAGAACCCTAACATTAGGCTGGGTGCAGATCTATGCAGAGAAAAATGAAGCTTTCCCACCATGAGCAGGCACAAAAGCAGAGCAGCACGAGCAGCTGCAGCCCTGGCAGGGTCTCTGGGCAGGGGGGAGTGGAGGGTGGCCCCTCTGGCTGCCCCCTGCCCCTGCATGGAGCAGCAGGGGGATGAGGGGTGATTATGCTGCTCCCCTTCCCTTTGTCGGAGTGTGGCTGTGTTGTTTGGCTTGGCTTTGCAAYGGGAGTTATAAATAAAAATGTCTCTCCAAGAGTGCGTGACTCACGGTCCTCACCGCAAGGATAACCTCTCTGCTGGGAAACCTGATCCGAGGACCGAACTGCAGCATGCAGGAATCAAAGACATCGCTCCATTAATGCACTTAATCCAAACGGAGAACARATGAGCCTCTCACCCCACCTGGGCTGGGAGCGGGCTGCTGGGGAAGGTGCTTGAGCCCCTCCAGACTGCTGTTCTGTGCCATCCCCGAGCTCCAGCTGCTGCCAGCCCAGCCCCTGACCTCCTCCAGGRCCCGGTGGTTTCCCTTGGGCAGCAGTGGGGAGCTGTGGCAGTCGCTGACGTGGCCTCAAGCAGGCTCAGCAATTTCTCCTGCCACCCCGCGAGGGGCAGCTCGTGGATGCTGGCGTTGCCTCAACGTGTGGCATCCCAGTGTGGGAGGCTGTGTCACCCCTGTGCCTGRGCACGGCATCCTCCCAGCCCCGTGGGACCCCTGCCCCGTGGGGAGAGGGATGCYCTGTGCCCCAGTGCCCCAGCCCGGGGGGACACGGTTTATCCCGGGGGTAGGCGACGGCGGGGCGACAGCTGGCKGGGGGATTTGCCGAGGGCATTATTTAATGCTGTGGGTAAATGGAGGAACAGCAGCTAATTCCGGAGCCCGTAATCCTCTTCCTCCCCCGGGGACGGGGAGCGTGCCAGTCACGCAGCCGCCGGCGGGCCCCGGGGACGAGCCCCCGGCAGCTCCCCAGGCGGTGCCGCGGGCCGGAGCGACTCCCAGACCATGGGTGATGTGCAGAAGGTGAGTGGGGTCTGGTGACATCCCACCTGCTCCAGGGAGGGCTGGCAGAGCAGGGGCACGTCCCCCCAGAGMGCCCAGGCTGGGACAGCACAGCCGGGAGGAGAGGAACTGGGGCTGGGCACATCTGCTGTGGGGCCACCCCGAGCCTGAACCCCAAACCACCCCGGGCCCTGGTGCTCGCTCAGGCCACGGACACAGGGTACCCAAGGCCAACAGTGTGCCCAAAGAAGGGTGCTCTGCAGCGAGCCAGCACCCCACAGAGCTCCCCTAGCACCCCACAGAGCTCCCCTAGCACCCCATAGAGCTCCCCTAGCACCCCACAGGGCTCCCCTAGCACCCCACAGAGCTCCCCTAGCACCCCACAGAGCTCTCCTAGCACCCCACAGAGCTCCCCTAGCACCCCACAGGGCTCCCCTAGCACCCCACAGGGCTCTCCTAGCACCCCACAGAGCTCTCCTAGCACCCCACAGGCCTCTCCTAGCACCCCACAGGGCTCCCCTAGCACCCCACAGAGCTCTCCTAGCACCCCACAGGGCTCCCCTAGCACCCCACAGGGCTCCCCCTAGCACCCCCCGCCCCCAGGGGCTGCTCTCCGTCATCCAGAGGCTGAAGGGATCGCCGGAGCAGGAGCTCCGCATCGTCCTGCTGGGGCTGGACAACGCGGGCAAGACGACGCTGCTGAAGCGCCTGGCRTCCGAGGAGGTCAGCACCATCACCCCCACACAGGTAGGTGCTGCTGGGGGCCACGGGTGGCAGGAGAGGGGGCAGGTCCCACCCATCCCTCGGGTGACGCTGTGGTTTGTGYCCCCGCACAGGGATTCAACATCAAGAGCGTCCAATCGCACGGTTTGAAGCTGAATGTTTGGGATATCGGGGGGCAGCGCTCCATCCGCCCCTACTGGAAGAAGTATCTGGGCAGCACAGACCTGCTGGTGAGCGGGGCAGCACCCCAGCCCTGTGTGTGCAGTATCCCCACAGAAAACTGTGCAGCTGGGCAAGAAAGAGCTCCTGACTGTCCCTTTTGTCCCCACGGCAGATTTATGTCATTGACAGYGCTGACCAGAAGCGTTTYGAGGAGACAGGGCAGGTAYGAGGGGTCCAGTGAGGGGTGGTTGYGGGGTCCTGGGGCTYRGWTCTGTCACCGGCTCTTTGAGGATGAGTGGGAAGTGAAGCTTCTCTTAACTGTGGGGCAGAGCTCTGTGGGAAGGCTCAAGAGCAGAGTCTCAGCAGGCAGAGACACCCCACTCCATGGCCCAGCAGCTCGCTCTGAGCCGGGATGTTCCCAGGGTACCCAGCACAGGGGTGACAGTCCCTGCTCAAAGTGACCCCTCAATCTCCAGCCTCCCCCAGCACCAGGGTAGTGATACAGCCAAACAAAGGATTATGAGCAGCAAATTCAGCTGCAAACCCTGGGAATGAAGCTCTGAGAGGGGAAGGCGAGATGAGTGCCAGCCCCGGCTGTTCTGGCACCAGACGGCGGTGTGGGTGTGCCAGACAAGCTGGGGACTGGCAGGAGCCTCCTGCAGCTGCCCTTTGCCCAGGCTCTTGGTGCTGGGAGGGCTTCAACCCTCAGGTAGCCCAGCATGTGGCTCCTGGGCTGATGGAGCTTCAGGAGAGCATATCCCTCCTTTGGGACACCACAATCTCACAGGTTCCGTATCTGCAATGGGCACCAGAGGGAAGGGATGAGGCACTGGCAGGGCTGAGGTGTCCAACCCACCCAGGGCAGCTCCATACAGGAGGACAGCAGCCCTGGGAGAAGATTCTCTCTTGGCAGGAGCTGGCAGAGCTGACAGAGGACGAGTCCCTCACAGGGGTGCCACTGCTGGTGTTTGCCAACAAGCAGGACCTGGTGACCGCAGCACCCGCGGCCGAAATCGCCGAAGGGCTGAGCCTCCACACGTACCGGGACCGCGAGTGGCAGATCCAGGCCTGCTCGGCCCTGTCTGGGGAAGGAGTGCAGGTAGAGATGGGAGCCACAGGCTCTGCAGGGCTGAGAGAGAACCCAAGGGCCTGTGCTCACATCTGTGTTCCCTCCAGGATGGGATGAACTGGATTTCCAGCCAGATCATGAACAGGAAGAAGTGAGAGCTGCAAAGTGCCAGACGGGACTGAGCTGCAGGTCCCTCCACCATGGCCAACCCCCCGATCCTCAGCTCCCCCCGAGCCTCAGCTGGGCCCTGAGCCTCACGCTGCCATGTTCCCATGATTTTCCCACCCAGTCCTCCCCTGATCAGTTGGCTTCCCCTCCCCCTGCCTCCAGGGCTTCCAYGGGCTCCTCGCACCCCCTGACTTCCCTGCAGCCCCCATGCTGTTGGAGAGAACCACATCTCCACCTCCCATCGTACTGAGGGCTCGCACACCTCCTACAAGAGAACCTGTCCATCCACGCTGCTGTCACCCCACGGGGCCTGCTGTGACCCACACGCTGCCCAGGGCACAGTGGGCACCCCAACATAGCGCTGGCTACACCCCGGCCAGCCAAGGGCTGTGTGTCCCCCTGTGCCCTGCAGAATGGGACCGGTGCTGGCCCAGCCGTGGCATCGGGCTCGGGAAAGCCTCCGTTCAGCATCTCTCCCTGGCCAGAGGAGTCCCCACGGGCGGACAGGACTTGGGACACGCACGAAGAGAGGAGCAGTCACCAACGGAGCAGTTCCCTGGCCCGGTGCCAGCAGGGGCTGCTCTGTGCTGCTGAGGGGACACGCCGAGGGGTCCCTGAACCCCACAGACACCTGTCTGTACCCCGYTGTCCCCCAGCGCACCTCAGCCGGGGCTGGAGGGGCCCATCCGGAGGGGTGGGAGATGCTGCTCCCTGGCCACCACCGCTGCCATGGGGGATGGATGGGGCAGACCTGGGAACGGGGCAGGGGCTGCCCTGCAACCCTCAATAAAGCTGCTGTGACCTCCACGCTGTCTCGGCCAGTCCTTYMYGKGGGGCTGTGCCYGGSGCCRTTCTTCCTCAGGCYRATCCCGATCCCGTTCCTATTCYCGTTCCCGTTCCTGATCCTGTTCCCATTCCCGATCCTGGCCCCATTCCCAATCCCGTTCCCATTCCCGATCCCGTTGCCCTTCCTGTTCCCAATCCCGTTCCCATTCCCATTCCCGATCCCGTTCCCGATCCTGTTCCTGTTCCCGTTCCCATTCATGATCCCGTTCCCGATCCCGTTCCCGTTCCCGTTCCCCTTCCCATTCCCGATCCTGTTCCCGTTCCCGATCCTTTTTCCCGTTCCCGTTCCCATTCCCATTCCCGTTCCCGATCCCGGCCCCATTCCCATTCCCGTTCCCGGCCCCATTCCCGTTCCCGTTCCCATTCCCATTCCCGTTCCTGATCCCGGCCCCATTCCCGTTCCCATTCCCGTTCCCGTTCCCATTCCCATTCCCGTTCCCGATCCCGGCCCCATTCCCGTTCCCGTTCCCGATCTAATTCCCGTTCCCATTCCCGATCCCATTCCCGTTCCCGATCCCGTTCCCGGGACCTGTCGGTGCGGGTCACGTGTCCCGCGGGCGGCACGAGCCGCGCACGTGAGGGCGGACTACATCTCCCGGCATGCCCCGCCCTGCCGCGCACGTGCAGCACACGCTGGTAGGCTGTTCGGCCCCCTCTTCCCGCTTCCCGCCGCCCAATGGGAGACGCGCGCCTTGCTGGCCCCCGCCTTTCTCCTCTGCAATAGGCGGGCAATGGTGTCACTCACCCACAGGGGCGGGATCATGGTGAATGCGGATTTCTGATTGGTTGTTGCAGTTGCGAGGCCGGGCCGGGGGCGGAGCGCCGGAAGGCGGAAGCGGAGCATGGCGGCGGGTGCGGGCAGGCTGGTGGCGGCGGCCGTGCTGCTGTTGGCCCTGGCCGGGCCGCGCCCGGTGCCCGCCGAGCTCACGGATGGCAACAGCGAGCACYTGAAGCGGGAGCACTCGCTGATGAAGCCGTACCAGGGTGAGMGCGGGGCCGGCGGGACGCGCGGGGCGCCCCGCGAGCGGCCCGGGCTGATCCGCACTCTGTTCCACTCSTTGCAGGCGCGGGCTCCGCCGCGATGCCGCTGTGGGATTTCCAGGGCAGCACCATGGTCACCAGCCAGTACGTCCGCCTGACGCCCGACGAGCGCAGTCGGGAGGGCTCCATCTGGAACCGCGTGGTGAGAGCCCGGGGGGACACGGGGGGCTTGGGGCGGCCCTGCTGCCTCTTGCCCTGACGCCGCTGGGGTTTCTCCCACAGCCCTGCTTCCTCAAGGACTGGGAGCTCCACGTCCACTTCAAGATCCACGGAGCCGGCAAGAAGAACCTGCACGGGGACGGGCTGGCGCTGTGGTACACGCAGGAACGCCTGATGCCAGGTCAGTGCTGGGSACCGGCTGGTTGGCAGCACACGTGCCCTGTCCTGGAAGGCAGCTGGCCAGACAGAGCCTCWGAGCTCCCCGTCTGGTTTCACTAGACTGGGGTGACGTGTCCTGTCTCTTCTGCCCGGGCAGCMGGTGCTCTCAGCCACCTGCTTGGCAGTGAACAGCTTGTGCAGCTCAAAACTCTCGGAGCACTAATTCTGACCCCCTTCTGTCTCATCCTCTCTCTTCTGCCTTGCCCTGTTCCAGGTCCTGTCTTTGGCAGCAAGGACAACTTTCATGGACTGGCTATTTTCCTTGATACCTAYCCCAATGATGAGGCAACGGAGGTGAGTGGTGCAGGGAGCTTGTGCAGTGCCCAGCAGGCTGTTTCATCCCTGCTCCRGGTGCTTCTCACCCAATCCAAGGAAAAATTTCTCCTTGCTTAAGCATGGTCAGCTCCCCCTTTCCTGGGAGTTGGTAAAGGGAAGAGTTTGCGTGCATTGATGGAGATAAGAAGCTCCTTGCTCCTTCTTGATGTTTCCAAGGCATTTTCTTTGTGCAGGAGAGCAGGCACAGAGCTGRTAGAAACCCAGCACCACCTGATAATGCTCATTCTGAGTGTCATTCCCTGACTTATGTGCTTTGGATTCTCATTCCATGATATTTCTGCTCTTATTTTCTCTTCGCATGCCGGGTGTGTCTGAAAGAAACTCCTGGGCTTTTCTTTTTTTTGCCCCAGAATTCCCCATGGCCACAGTACAGATCAGTCCTGTGAGGGCCGGGGATCTTTTTCTTCTGTCCTGTTCCGTGTTTGTGGATCTTGTTACAGCACAGTCAGAAAACAGGACTGTGCTTTRAGGTCTGTACTGTATTTAAAGCATGATACTTCAGTCATAAAGCACCTGGAAATGACCCATCTCCCTTTGTTTTGATGCTCATGGGAGGTGAATTCCTGCCTCCAGTTGGCCTCAATCTACTGATCACAAAACCTTCCACGTGGTATTGTTGCTTATGTGAGATTTTGGTCCATTACGGGCTCTGTTCTTACATTTCTTGTGTTCAAGGAATGAGTGGACTCGGCAGTCAGGGCTAGTTGACAAGGTGGGGATTGGTCACAGGTTCGACTGAATGATCTCAGTCTTTTCCAGCCTAAATGRTTCTGGGATTTTTATCCAGCCCCTCTGCAAGCTTGGGGCTGTCTCTGCTCTGACCCTGCAGYACAGGGTGGGTTTATTCACAGAACCACAGGATGGGGKGGCTTGAAATGGGAGGCCAGAAYGGGAAGCTCTGCTTTAGGCAGCTCTGGCTGAGTTCAGAAGCAGCTTTGTGTGGAGAAGCAGCCRTGGTGTCATGGTSCTGTGCTCCCACCCTGCTCCTGCTGTGGGCACAGAGGCTCTGGCTGTGCCCCCAGGAGCCCCTGCAGCYCCTGCAGCTCCTGTCTGTGCCCCACAGCGTGTGTTCCCCTACATCTCGGCCATGGTCAACAACGGCTCCCTGACCTATGACCACAGCAAGGACGGGCGCTGGACAGAGCTGGCCGGGTGCTCCGCTGACCTGCGCAACCAGAACCAYGACACCTTCCTGGCCGTGCGCTACTCCCGGGGCCGGCTCACGGTGAGACCTGGAGGGGGTCCTGCAGGTCAGGTGGGGCAGGGCTGGCTGTACCTGCACAGGGAGTGAGGTGGAGATGGTTTTCCAGGCTCAGCTGCTGCCTCTCCAGCACCTCCAGCTCCTAAAGAGGTGCAGGCAGGCAGGAGRGTGGTGTGCCCAAGGTGATTGCCTGGAGAGGGTGTGGAGTCTCCCTCACTGGAGATGTTAATGATCATCCAGACACAATCTRTGTGATCYRGGATGGCCCTGCTTGAGCAGGGAGGTTGGACCAGGTGACCCATTGYTGTCCCTTCCAGCCTGGCTTGTCCCATGGTTCTGCACATTCCTGGTGTGACCCTCTCCTGGTTTTGCAGGTGATGACAGATGTGGAAGACAAGAATGAATGGAAGAACTGCATCGACATTGCCGGGGTGCAGCTGCCAACCGGGTACTTCTTTGGTGCTTCTGCTGGCACKGGAGATCTGTCTGGTGAGAGGGGGCTTTGCTCAGGGGAACACGTGGTGATTGGGGCCTGGATTAGGTGACCCTGCCTTGGTATGGGGGTTGGATCTCCAGAGGTCACTTCCAACCCTAGAAATTCAGTGATTYTGTGACTGCACTATGGATGCACTGGATAGTTTCTGTGGCTTCCTTTCCCTGAATTGTTCACCGGGCTCTTGAGAGCGTGCTGGGTAGGGACCTGTGACCAGGAGAAGGAGGCATTGGAGACCTATGGAATGTCTTGGATTACAGTTTGATACCTGGGCACAAGGGTGGCTTGAGAGGGAAGTAGATTGGGCCTGGCAGWGCAGGGTCTGAGGGGTGCTCTGAGTGTGTGGACATCTCAGAACTCACGGCMTTTGGTGCTCATGGTTGTTCCCCAGACAATCACGACATTATCTCAATGAAGCTGTTCCAGCTCATGGTGGAGCACCCTGTAGAAGATGACACCGTTGACTGGACCAAGATCGAGCCGAGCGTCAGCCTCCTCAAATCCCCCAAAGGTGAACCTGTGATCTTTAGAAACCTTCATGGGGCATTGGGATATCAGGGCTGGACTCTGGAAAGCATCAGAGCTGTGACACGCTGTGGGACTCCCCAGGAGCCAAAGTGGGGTTGTTTTGAGCTGTTCTTTCCCTTGCAGACAACGTGGATGACCCRACGGGGAATTTCCGGAGCGGGCCA